CTCGTCTATTTTCCTTTTTCTATTTTTCACACAATGTTTTAGAAAATAACAAATCAGAACGCAATTAAAGCTCAGGCTATCTTTCACTTTTGGGTTACTGTGCTCAATCGCTCCACACCCACATTCTCTGAGCGCCGCGCACAATGAGTATGTTCATATCTGCATCGGAACCGTGGTGTGATCAGAACCTAAAATGAAGTGTCCACAGGAGCGTTGCTGCAGTTCTTGCTTTAATACAAATGATGGAGATTTTGTTTTATTGCGATCACAATTATATGGACACTTTCGGCTAGATTTTGCCGCCGACGTCAGCGTCACTCACCATATATGTATACATATCTATATATATGTAAACGCAAGAAAAAAAATAATCCAGAAAAAGACTCCGGCTCGCGGAATCAAGTTTGGGACCTGTGAGCCATGAGTGCCAGGCGTTAACTATACTGAACCACTAACGAACACCTCCTTCGACCTCAAACGGCAAGCTATCTATATCTACCACTTACCGCTGCAAACTGGCATCTCGAGGGGAACTATCGTGTTTTCAGCACTACCAGCAATGTGGAGCAGTGAGCGCGCGTCGCAACATCATCACGACGCAGCGGCGCGCTCTCTCAAATCCCACGCGTACTTCGCGCCGCGGAGAGGAAAGAGGCGACGCTCATTCGCGCACCCTTATCTCGCGGTGTGGAGGATCGTACGTCAAGGCTGGCCTTGGGCGATTTTGTTACCGGGCGCACAAAGGTCTCTGCAATCGTTGCACAGTCTCCGTTTGCGAAAAGGGTGGCTGGCCTTGGGCGATTCTGTTACCGGGCGCACAAAGGTCACTGCAATCGTTGCACAGTCTCCGTTTGCGAAAAGGCTGCGCTTTTCGGACACAGTGAAGTACGACAACTGAGACGCTTATTCGCGTTCATCTGTACTCGTCAGTACGTTTCGTACGTCATTTGTGCGTGAGAAAAGTGGGGCACGTTTCGATCTGCTTGCCATTCTGCGTGACCTTCCAATTTGTTGCTATCACGTTCATTGTTTTGCGTTTGCAGCAAAGCTGCGACTTTTCTTTTTAGAGCGTAGCCATGTGCAGCTATACGAAACGAAGATTGACGGCGGCGATCTTATTATAAAGCAATGTATAAATGACGCAATTAATTATGTCACCTAGCGTCATCATTTTACTCGTACATCAATATAAATTTGTGAAGAGGCTATTGACAAATTGTTTCCTATGTTTCTAATACACCATAATCAGTAACCAAAATCACTAAGGCATGCCTCAGTATTCCCTAACCTTACGCTGAATAATGTTAGTTTATTAGTTTTTTAAGATGCTACTTAAAATGCAATGGCTCCAGGTTTACATGTGATTTTCATGCAGATACTCTTTTCATTGTAAAGGCGGGGAAACACGTCCTTCATTTTTTTTCACCTTTTTGTTTCTCCGTTCTACATAGCGAGTGTTTCAGCTAATTAGAAACAAGGCTTGGAACGTCCACTTGTCTATTACGATAATGCGACAAACTTACTGTTAACTCTCCTCGCGAATGAGTAGAGAATATTTTTTTTTCCCTTTCTACTGTGCGCTCATATGATGAAAAAACGTCAATGAGGTGCGCTAATTTCAAAACCTTGCTTTGAATATGTAGCATTCTCAATGGAGAATCGTAGATCCTGTAGGCAAACATAAAAAAAATACTTTGTGTCCATGACAACAGCGGCTCTGGTTTTATTTCTTTAAGGATTTCATGCAAGGTATGCGTGATTGTGAAGTCAAATAAAAATCGTGATTAGGCATATCGCGTTCTGAAATTTATATCTTCAAATATGCTTCTTAATAACGGTCGCCGAACTTCAAGACCTAATTTATGAGCTGGCCTTGAGCAGCGGAGATGGTTCGACTATAATGGTTTTTACTTTTGCCAGTATATCTTGCTTGTTTTGTATCAGTGAAGTAAATTGACCCTTGGACGTGCTATAAATAACGCGTGCCAATCGCTAAAGCTCCATGGGAATTCATTGAAGTTCTATCGGCATTTTTACGGTTTACAAACAGCGTAAAGGTTGCGGAGGTTTAATCCAAACACGGCGATGCAGCGGGGACATTGAGTAGGACCATCGCCTATAATTTTCTCATGCGGCAGGCGAGAAGCATTGCGTTTTAGTATCAGGTTTTGAGGATACCAACGTTACAGTACTCAAGGGGCGTGCTACGTTTTTTTTTTCATCTCACGCACTTTATTTACAACGGAGAAAGAAAAAAAATCCGGAAGCTATGATCATGGCAAAAAATCATTCATTTATTTGAGAACAAATTCTACAGTTTCTCCACTGAACACTTCATGGTGATAACAAGAGGCGTGCCAGAATTGTTTTTCGAGGAGCGGGGGGGGGGGCGGTAATCACGTTATATGTGCGTTTGTGCATGCGTTTGTACTTGTGTGCATGTATATACGCAAGTAATATTAAAATTTTCAGTATAATGGAACCCTTCCCCCCCCCCTCCAGCCTAGCTACGCCACTTATAGCAAGATTTAGGTTATTTAGGTAATATTCATCATCATCCAAGTTCACGGTAGGAAATACTCCTATAGTCACTCAGGAGGACAGTGAACAAAGACAAGTGGGTTTACGTTTAATTACGCACACGTGAACTTCATTATCAACGACACTGAAGTGCGATCAGTAGATTTCGCTTTTGCATCTGCTAGTTCTTTCATACGAATAAGTGAAATAAAAGCTTTCAAATACGTAAAATAGTGATAAGAATGCCGTTGTCGACACCCGATCATTATCAGAGATTCCGGTATGCCTTTTGAAGTGATTAAAAAATTCTTTCATGAATATATATATATATATATATATATATATATATATATATATATATATATATATATATATATATATATATATAAGATTTGAGAATGGGCAGATACTGAACATCCGCTCTTGGCGCAAAATATAAAAAATATTTATTTTAAAAAAGCAATAAAGTAGAAAAAATGGCACATAACATTTTCCAAGAAAACAGCAAGGTAATGACTCACGCTATTCTAGTAAACCTTTCGCTACAATCTACAAGCCTATACGGCATTCGTCAAGCGATCAACGCAGTGATATCTGCAATCAATATGCAGCTATGCGCTTTGTTGCATGTGCCATCAGCTAAAAATTGTTCCATATCTATGCGCGTTTACTTATTGCCCTAATTTGCGTTCCCTGTAGTCCTAATAAATGAGTTTTATTGCTAGTATTCGTGGCATGTATCTCTCTAAAAACTAGTTGAGGAGCAGGCGTGTCAACTTTTACATTTGTCTCACTTAGTTCAGTAAGAATGAGGATTGAGGTCTTCATTCTAAACGACTCACTTTTTTTTGCTTTTTGGATTATTTAGGACTGACTTTCTGCAACCACAACATAACCTTATTTTCACCCTAGATTTCACAATGTTCTAACTACAATGAAGGAATTTCTATTCCCCGGCAGGTATCCGCATGCTTCAAAGTTCTCTCCAACCCGATTTAACGAACCTTCCATGGCGCTACACACAATTTAACGAAGCTTTTCCAGAAACAAACGTCGATGTGTAATAAAAATGCAGCAATTTATTTCTAATTTTGACAGCGATGGGTTTTTCTTCAAGCGTGCGCACGTTGAAAGAGCTAGCCGCCCTATCATCACGACCTTAGCTTTGTTTTTAGGAAGCTGCGTGTTGTACTCATGCATGGTAGTGATTTTACGTACCTGATGACTTCAAGGTCGATGATGGTTTGTGGTCCTTGTGAATGCTCCAACATAGACGTGGCGGTTGGTCGCGGTATTTAATGGTTTACAACACATATCACACTGATTGCCTTGTCGCAACTATATGTATATACTTGCGGTGACGGCTCGCACAATCGCTGCATTTAATCTCCCCGTCTTTGAATATTGCCGCAGCTTACCGTATGCTCAGTGATAACCATATATCGTCGGTATTGCCTGGACATGTGAGGATTGATGTTCTTTCGACGTGGGAGGCTCAATGATTTGTCTTTTTTCGCAAGCTTATTCACACGCGCAGGCATGTTTTAGTGGCAAACAAAATGCCGTCGTACCTTTCGTGTGTCAGTAGGTTAGAATGTCAGGTTTAAAATGATCTAAAAAGCTATTTTTCTCAATTTCGGGGATTCCCAAGTTTAACGGAATAATAGCAGTGCGGTCATCGCTTTGTTGATTGATTGATATGTGGGGTTTAACGTCCCAGAACCACCATATGATTGACGACGTAGTGGAGGGCTCTGGAAATTTCGACCACCTGGGGTTATTTACCGTGCACCCAAGTCTGAGCACACGGGCCTACAACAATTCCGCTTCCATCGTAAACGCAACCGCCGCAGCTGGGATTCGATCCCGTGACCTGCGGGTCAGCAGTGGAGTACATTAGCCATTAGACCACCACGGCGGGGTGGTGATCGCTTCGTTAAATGGAGTTCTAACTTTGTAGCTTAGACAACTATACCCGTAACGATTCCCACAGCGGCGACAAATCAAATCGACCTAAATCACCCCGTGCGGCCAAAACATGTAAAAAAACAGGTTCCAAAGAAAAGGTGGGTCTACATGACTCAACAATTAGCTTTCGTCACATATCTGGGCTAGGTGCTGCCGACAGAGCATGTGTATCCAAAAACTGCATCCGATTCTATCAGTGCGCAAAGACGTGTGAATTCTCCAGACAAAAGTAAACTTTCCTGAGTGAGCTTTCACTACTTTCTGAGTCCTTCTATACTTTGCTATTTATTTATTAATTTATTTATGCTTTGCTATTATTTTACCCTGTAAAGAACAGACGAAAATAACAGCCGATGGGCTCTCTGTACCTGAACCACTCAAGAGGAACCCATGTATTACGAATCAGAACGAATGTGTAAACTTAGTTCCTCGCGCTGTAGCATTGACCACGTGCCCGCACCCTTTTCTCAGTGGAAAACGATGTCGCGGAAAAAAGAAGAGATGCCGCTTACTATTGCAGTTTCCGCGGTGGTCGATGGCGATCGGCCTTCCCGCGAGGCAGGCGGCCCTGTGCAGCTCGCAGTGGTTGATGTAGTAGTTGCCGTCCGAGCCGCACACGGGCTTGCGCCTCTTCTTGCACGATTTCTGGCACACGCAGCTTGCCTCGCCGGCATCGTTCAGCTCGCACTGGCGGCCCCGACCGCACACCATGGTCTCGCACAAATCTGCGCACACCGGAGTCAGGCATAAAACATGTGCAGGATATCAGCTCTATTTATTCATTTCAGGATTCATAATCGGGATATAAAAAAGCAGCTTTTTTATAGTGACACGCCAACTTTGCGATAAAAATGGTAGACTGGTTAACACCGGAGTAAAACGCGTGGAGAGAGAGAGAGAGAGAGAAGAAAGTAAAGGCAAGTAGGTTGAACAGACGCCCGTCCACTTTGCTACCCTGCTCTTGGGAAGGGAATTCAGGGGTGAAAGGGAGAGGGAGACGGAATCATGGACTATAAAAGAAAGGCAGGGGGGTTGACCAAGGCTATAAGCCTGGTTGACCACCCTGCAATAAGAAAGGGGAAAAATGCTTAGATGGGTGCTCCAACCGTTTTTCAGCATAGTCGAAACACGCTGCCATCGAGGTTCCTGAGAACATGTGAACCAAGTATCATAGTGCAGCACGCGGCTATGACAATTCTTTTACAAATTACAATTCTCAAAATCATTCAGAAATCGCTTCTTTTTTCGATAAATGGTGCCATAAACCACCAAAAAAGTGCTCCATAAACGCAATGTGCACGGTCATGAGCATCACTCGTAAAAGTGTTTGAACTTGTGCACATTAAGATGCCTTCAAATTAGGAAAGAGCGCAAACCATGAGGTAAGAAAAAGTGACCAGCGCCAATCGCAGTCTGTCTCTCTGGTCTCATGGGCTTAGGCTGTTTTAACTAACTGGAGTGAACTTCAAGGGACACAAAGAACTGATTCACATAAATGAAAGTTCACTAAACATATCAAGCTAAAAATGTGAATTGCATTTTATTTTGAGAACAATTTTGTTATTTTCACTTAAACAGGTGTCCTTAAAGCGCGAGAAGATAGAAGGCTGTCCAGGGAGTTTACACTTCTGAGCACTGCCCCTGGCACAGCTTGTTGGTGTGACACCAGGTCTCGCAACTTTGATAATATTTTAGGTTTAATGTCCCAAAACCACCTTATGATTATGAGAGACACCGTAGTGGAGAGCTCCGGAAATTTCGACTACCATGGGGTTCCTTAACGTGCACCCATATCTGAGCATATATACGGGCCTACAGCATTTTTGCCTACATCGAAAATGGAACTGCCGCAGCCGGAATGCTATACCACGACCTGCGGGTCAGCAGCCGTGTACCTTAGCCACTAGACCACCGTGGCGGATCGAGTCTTGCAACTTCTAACATATTCTACAGTCTCGGCTGAAGAAACATGATTTTATTCTGCCTCAGCCATTCCCTTCTTTCTGCTCCGGACAAACACTGGAAACAATTTGCAAATCTGATAGTTCTGGTTGTGTTTTTGATGAGGAAAAGACGGTTCATTCTCGTCTCTCGCACGGCCGCTTTGCCTCGGTGGCGCGGGTGCACCGCCGAAAATTGATAGTGATAAGGTGGCAGCACGCATCGTCTATGCCATTGCTGCCGAGTGCAAAACTTCAGTAAATTGGTCTCACAAATGAGACCGAGTCCACACATCAATCACATCAAGGTCATTCTATTTGAAATATTCTTCATTGGAAAATTCGTTGAAGTAAACTTTATTTTCCACAAAATATGCTTAGGGAAACCACCGGAGATTTTCGAAAAGTTCATCATTCCGAAATACTCGTTAAATCGACGTTCGTAAAAGTGATAGTTCACTGTAACCAAGTTAAGCTTATTGTGAGGAGGTTTATTAGCCGTTAAAGTCGGCGACGAGACAGCGTGAATAACCGTCCAGCGATCGGCACAGCAACGAACCAAAGCACGAGCCGAGAGAGCCGGGCGTTGGCGATGCTGCTCGCTGCAGGCACATCTTCTTCTTCACAATCGCCCCCGCTGAAAAGGAGCCATCCTGGCGACTTAAGAAGTTTCAGGCAGAGGCTCATGGTACGGTTTCAGTCGGGAAACATGAACGATGTCACGTGCACGCCGGCGCATGTCGTCCGATCGGGAAACTGGTTCAATTAGAAAATTAACTGGAGATGTTTTCTCCAAAACGGTGTAAGGCCCCTCGTACCGGGGGACAAGTTTCGAGGAGAGTTCCGGTGTTTGGTATGGGATGGCAAGCCACACAAGAGACCCTGGGGCATAGCTGGGATCCGGAAGAGAGGTGCTACGGGTTTCTTTCTGGCGTTGTTGCTCTTCCGAGGTGAACGCACGGGCGAGCTGGCGGCACTCTTCGGCTTGTCTAGCAGCATCGGAGATAGGTGGACACTCGGAAGCATCAGGACGGTAAGGAAGTAGGGTATCAATTGTATGGGAAGGCTCGCGTCCGTAAAGAAGAAAGAAAGGCGAGAATCCCGTGGTGGTTTGTATTGCGGTGTTATACGCGAACGTGACGTACGGGAGAACACGGTCCCAGTTGCTATGATCAGATGCCACGTACATTGAGAGCATATCACCTAGCGTGCGGTTGAACCGTTCCGTTAGTCCGTTAGTCTGCGGGTGGTATGCTGTTGTTTTCCGATGAATGACGTGGCATTCCGAAAGCAGAGTTTTGACAACCTCGGAAAGGAAAGTGCGGCCTCTGTCACTAAGGAGCTCTCGAGGTGCACCATGTCGAAGGATAAAGCGTTGCAAAATGAAAGAGGCGACATCCTGAGCTGTAGCGCTCGGCAAAGCGGCTGTTTCGGCGTAGCGTGTCAGGTGGTCAACCGCCACTATAATCCACCGATTACCATCTGGTGTCAATGGAAGGGGACCGTAGAGGTCAACGCCGACGCGATCGAATGGCGTGGCAGGGCATGGAAGTGGCTGCAATGCGCCAGTCGCACGTGGCAGTGTTGATTTACGTCGCTGGCAGTCAGGACAGCACTGCACGAATTTACGTACAAAATTGTACATGCCGCGCCAGTAGTAGTGATGGCGAAGGCGTTCATATGTTTTGAACACTCCGGCGTGGCCACATTGCGGATCGTCGTGAAGGGAGGCACATACTTGCGATCGTAAAGTGCGTGGAATGACCAGCAACCACCGGCGGCCATCGGGAGCGTAGTTGCGTCGATGAAGAAGTTGATCGCGGATGGCGAAATGGAAAGCTTGACGTCGGAGGGATCGAGATACTGGAAGGTTGGGCGTGCCAGATAAATATTCGATAAGAGAGGCGATCCACGGGTCACGGCGTTGTTCGGTGGCAATCGTGTCGAGATTTAGTGATGACAAGGTCTGGAGGCAAGTGTTTCCGCACGTCTGATCTGGTGGTAAAGGTGAGCGGGACAGAGCATCAGCGTCAGAGTGTTTGCGTCCGCAGCGGTATACGACGCGAATGTCGTACTCCTGGATGCGGAGTGCCCATCGCGCAAGGCGGCCAGAAGGGTCTTTCAACGTGGAGAGCCAGCAAAGCGCGTGGTGATCAGTTACTAGATCGAACGGGTGGCCGTATAAGTACGGCCGGAACTTTCCAAGCGCCCACACCAGAGCCAAACACTCTTTTTCTGTCACGCTGTAATTAGTTTCGGCTTTCGTCAGAGTGCGGCTAGCGTAGGCTACAACGTATTCTGAATAGCCGGGCTTTCGTTGAGCGAGGACCGCGCCTAGCCCGACGCCGCTGGCGTCGGTGTGCACTTCGGTAGGAGCCGTCGGGTCGAAGTGGCGAAGAATAGGTGGGGAAGTGAGCAGACGGCGCAGAGTAGTGAAGGCAACGTCACATGCAGGGGACCAGGAGGTGAGGTTCACGTCACCGCGAAGAAGCTGGGTTAACGGTGACATGATAGATGCAAAATTGCGAACAAAGCGCCGGAAATAGGAGCATAGGCCTACAAAACTGCGAAGTTCTTTCATGGTCGTCGGCTTGGGAAATTCTGCGACTGCTCGAAGTTTTGCTGGGTCTGGTAATACGCCGTGCTTGGACACGATGTGGCCTAGGATGACGAGCTCGCGTGCAGCGAAGCGGCATTTTTTCAGGTTAAGCTGCAGACCAGCATTGTTCAGACAACTCAAAACGTGCCTGAGACGAAGGAGGTGCGTAGGAAAGTCATGGGAGAAAGCCACGACATCGTCGAGGTAACAGAGGCACATATTCCATTTGAGGCCACGTAGCGTATTATCCATAAGACGTTCAAACGTGGCAGGCGCGTTACAAAGCCCAAAGGGCATGACGTTAAATTCATATGGTCCGTCTGGTGTAATAAATGCCGTTTTTTGGCCATCGGCTTCTGCCATTGGGACCTGCCAGTAGCCAGACCGCAAATCTAGCGACGAGAAAAATTCCGCTCCGTGAAGGGTGTCAATGGCGTCATCAATGCGCGGCAAAGGATAGACGTCCTTGCAGGTTATCTTATTCAAACGACGATAGTCCACGCAAAATCGGATAGATCCGTCTTTCTTACGCACCAGGACGACGGGAGACACCCAGGGACTGTGAGATGGTCGAATGACGTCTCTACGAAGCATATCTTCGACTTGATCGTTGATGACGCGGCGCTCTTCAGCGGAGACACGGTATGGTCTTTGACGCAGTGGCTGGTGTAGGCCGGTGTCAACATGATGTTTGACTTGTGATGTGCGGCCCAGTTGAGGTTGCGACACATCGAACGAACTCCTGAACTCATGCAGAAGATCCAGCAGGTCGGCATGTTCGGTGGGAGTGAGAGTGTCGGCGATGGCGCTGGAAAACGTATCATTGGACGACTGCCCGAGTGCCGACAGTGCTTTTGGGTGGTCGTAGTAGTCGTCCGGGACATCAAACAAAAACGAAGGGTCGAGATCCTGCACGCGGCCGAGACATTCCCCCGCAAGCAATGTGACAGGTGTGGAAAGCGAATTGCTTACGAACATGTTGCTTCTTCCGGCGGCAAGGTCAATTGTTGCGAAAGGCAGCGGCAAAGCTCGACGACATTTGAAGATATCGGAAGGCATAAAAAGAACTGTAGCGTCAGTGTAGGCGTTGCATGAAACGGGAACAAGGGCGAAATTTCCAGGCGGAATATCGGTATCTTCATGAACGAGCAACTTCTGCGGCTGATAAGGAGCGTCCAGTAATGGG